ACTCGATGTATCGAACATACTCAATGTATCGAATATACTCAATGTATCGAACATACTCAATGTATCGAATATACTCAATGTATTGAACATACTCAATGTATCGAATATACTCGTCGTGCCAAATATACTCGACGTATCGAATAAACTCGATGCACTGAATATACTCGACGTGTTCAATACACTCGATGCATCGAATACACTCGATGTATCAAACATACTCGATGTATCGAACACACTCGAAGTATCGAACATACTCGATGTATCGAATACACTCGATGTATTGAATATATTAGATGTACTGAATACACTTGATGCATCGAATACACTCGATGTATCGAACATACTCGATGTATCGAACATACTCAATGTATCGGATATACTCGTCGTGCCAAATATACTCGACATATCGAATAAACTCGATGCACCGAATATACTCGACGTGTTCAATATACTCGATGCATCGAATACACTCGATGTATCGAACATACTCGATGTACTGAATACACTCGATGCATCGAATACACTTGATGTATCGAATACACTCGATGTATCGAATATATTCGATGTACTGAATACACTCGATGCATCGAATACGCTCGATGTATCGAACATACTTGACGCATCGAACATAGTCGATGTATCGAACATGCTCGATACATCGACTATACACTGTGTATCGAATATACTCTATGTATCACAAGTTTTTCAATTTTCGATGGTCAAAATGGTTCTATCGCAACCATTGAGTTAAATTAAATTGCCATCAAATATCTCCCGTTTGCACTGCCAACTTCCCGTGGCCCCTCCTCCCTCGCTGAATACAAACAGCCCCTCACGTGCTGCTTCACACACACTAACGTCATGAAGGCGGAGCAGCTGAGGAGGATTATTTTTTACTATATGTAAATAGTTTATTTTTGAGACATTTATTTTGTATAGTCAATAAATGTGCCCGTGTGACAACTGGGACGAAGCTTTGACTCAGAAATATATTTTTATTATTACATTATGGAAATAAACAAATATCAAGGTATTTATCATATATTGCCATTTATCTTAAAATATTGAGATATTAATTTTGGTTCGATATCGAACTAAAACTATTTTTTGGATGAGAGACTGAACTCCACAGGAACCAGCACCCACAATGGACACCTGGCCCAGGTACAGTGAGTGACCCTCGAATGTAAAAATGGAGCGACACCTTATGAGCCAATATAAAAATCAAACATGGAGGGACAGAAGTTCAACAAAACTACACAAATGAAAGGAATGCGTTATGATCTGATAAATGGGAGATTTAATAAAAAAACATTTATAATGGATCGGTGTTTTCCACTGAGGAGCACTAGATGGAAGTGACTCTACGGACAAAGTTGAAATATTTTCAAAAGATTTTAAGGATTTGTCAGAATTGGTTGTTTTTATTGACAACACTAAAATAAATAAATGAAAACAGGAACAAAATAAATGCGTGGCTGATTTTTTTCCTTTCTGACGATAAACAAACGTAACTCGTCTTTGGACTTACAAACTATTAGCTCACCAGACGTCCATGCCCTTAAAGAAGATGAAAAGTTTTGACATGAAACGCTGGTTTTTCATCCAGCCCACTAAACTCCAGCAGATCCTGAACCTTGGTGTGGGGGAGGGGGATCAGAAACTACCATGGATCCATATGGTCCCCCCTCCAAAGAGCCCATTTGAAGAACTTTGTTGTTTTAGTATCAGGAGGTTTTCTTACCTGCAGTGGAGACCCAAACAGTCAGCGCTGCCACACATCCCAGCAAAGTCCAGCAGACCCTCATGTTGGCCCGGCGCTGAAAACAACACATCTGGTCTAAGCGACACATCTGGTCTAAACAACACATCTGGTCTAAACAACACATCTGGTCTGGTTTCATGATGAGTCCTCCTACCTGTCTGTGGAGAAAAGTCAGACTCGTGTAAAAGAGACGCTCCAAGTCCTGAGGAGTTCAGGCGTCTTGTTTGGAACAGTGGGAGGAACTGGGGCCAACAGATGGAGTTAGGGGGTTTATATTGGGGGGGGGGGGGGGGCAGAGAGGGGAGGAGATCAGACCCATCATGACTGTCAGAGAAAGTGTGGGCTGAGATTATGTCAGAAGAAATCTGGAGCCGATGAAGCTGAAGTTCTTCAAGGACCAACAGAACTTCAGGGGGTTCTTCTTGTAATCTGACAAAATGTCAACGTTTTGGTGTACAGACCATAGAAGAAGAAACATGACCAACGGTGGTGCAGTATGGTCACCATGGTAACTACACACCCATATCCGTCACTCACCAACAGCATTATAATGACAGAGAGAAACACAGGACAGAAAGTAAGCCTCAAACAGTCTATCTATCCATCCTCTTTACCTGCTTCTTCCTTTTCAGGGTCACTGGTGCCCATTGTCCCGCAGTCAGTGCGAGAGGCGGGGGACACCCTGGACAGGTCTCCAGTCCATCACAGGGACACATAGAGACAAACCGTTCACTCTCACTCTCAGGGACAGTATTAGAGTTACCAATCAGCCGAACATTGTCAAACAGTCTCTGTGTGAAAACGACAATCGCTCGGTCGTTGCACAAAAATTTTATTTATCTAAAGTTTCTACAGGCGACACGACACGTTAGAAAAACCGCCTGTTCTGAAAAACATTAAAAACTATGAACTCAGATTCAAAGAGAGTCAACTGGAATTTGGGTGTACACACTCGGAGCAACTTTATCAATACCTGAACAGTTAACGTCAAAACAAACAGAAGCTAAAAATCAGCTACACTGTAGCTAAAATTAACAAAATCTTAACCAATAACAGGAACAAGTTAAACGTTAGCTAAAAGCTAAAATAAGCAAAAAGAAAAAGCTACTATCAGCTAAACTGTATCTAAATACTAAAATTAGAAAACCTAACACTAAAATGAACAAAAACAGCCAAAACCTAAAAGTGGCACAAATTTAGCCAAATGAAAACAAAAAATGTAGCTAGAAGCAATAAATAACAAAACCTTAGCTAAAAGCTAAATGTTAATATAATCAAAACTTTAGCCAAAAACTAGAATTTACAAAAGCAGCTAAAATAAGCACAAATGTAGCTCAAACATAAGACAGCTAAACTTAGCTAAAAGCTATAATTAGCACTAATTAAGATAAAAGTTAAAACTAATAAAACTGTAGATAAAAGTGTAAAGGAGGGCAAGATAAAAACAGCTACTATGAAATGTTTTTAGAGAATGTTTTTAATATTTTTTAGACATTTCTAAGAGTAAAAAAAAAAGGTAAATAATTTACAAACTAGAAACAATAATAAATATTAAGCCACGCCGTTCCTGATCGAGTGTTTTCATCTATAAACAGCTAAAATAAAGTGGATTCTCGTGGACAGACGGCCTGAACTGCTGCAGGAAACAACGTGCGCTTGTTTTCACATTTGAGCTCATCGCAGCGAAGCTCCTGACGGTTGCGCAACAAGACTTTAGGAAAAGGGGGGAGGACGTGGTGGGGGTGCAGTTTGGTGCTTGAGGGTGGGGTTCAGGGGGCTCGAAGCGTCGGCGCCGTGAACTCTCAGATAGATCCAAGTCCCAGAGTCTCAGAGGAAGAGCACTGAGAACATACCTTCTCCCCCCCGTGGACTTAATACCAACAGCCCCCCCATCATAAATTTAACCTCTGAACAAAAGTCACAGAGTAAAAAACGAGCCGCTCGTCGAATGTTTACCTCAGGAACTCCAAGTGTGGATCACTTGGCTCGAGTCCAAACTCTTGTCCTACAGGATTCACCCAAAACTGATTTATTTGCACAGAAGTCTT